GGGAAAGAGAAAGAAGCTGTAGAGCTGCTGCCTTACTGTATGCTGATAGTGAATCTTGCTGGCAAAAACTGATGTGCAAAAACCTTAGGCTGATGCTTTCAAAAGTAGGCTTTGTCCTGGGTATCTGCATTTTGAGTTAGAAAGCAAGACAATTTAAGGAAGCCAAAGTGCGAGGCCATTTTTGGAGATTTTGGCACAAAAGGCTTGCCCAAGTCCACAAAGGAGGTCATAGGCAGAAACACACAACAGTCCTCTAAGAGGCAATGATCCAGGGTTTTGAAATTACGCAGAGAGAACTAGGGTAGTAAAGAGGATTTATACCTTTAATAAAATAGAAATACAGTTTGCTCTTCGCGGTAGCCAGGGATATTACTATCGTTGTCTGGGTAAAATTAGTCTTCAAAAGTTGTAACTGAAACTGCTGAAGATTCCTCCAATTTACATTTTAAACTACTTTTTCCTTTTAATCTTTGAATAAAGTAGTTTATTTCTGGAACAGCATACAAACCTATTTACATTTTTTGAATATTTAACTAACTAACTGTTTATGAAAGAAAATGTCCCAGGAAAGACGACAATGCAGACGCAGCCAAAATCAACAACATTCTAGTAAGATCTCCACCTGCTGTAAAACTTTCGGGAAAAAAAAAAGTTACAGTCAGAGAATAAGTGTCAACGGTCTCTATACAGGTGATATTGGAAGCAAAAGCATCAACACTACGGACATACAGCCATACGGGAAATGAGACAAGTTATTGCAGAAACATATTTGTCAATGCAGTACATCCTGAGTTCCACAGATGCAGTGTGTGATACACCCCGCAGTAAAGAGCTCTGGAATTTAGAAGATGGCAGTCAAATTTGGCAATAAGTTCTCGAGATGGAGGCAGAAGCCCGTATCAGAGCTCAGTGAAGTTCCAAAATGTACACTGACCATCATACTCTGCTGAAATATATTTATGCGTTTACATACACAGCAAACAAACTTATATTGCTCTTCACTGACATTTCTAAACATGTATTTGCTTGTTGATCACTATTGTTTAATATGAATAGAATAGAAATGGATGGATGTGTTTGCATAAAGACTTGAAGATCTCCAAATGAATATTTTGGCTAACTCAAAATTTGTGCCACTTCTTTTAATTCTCCATATATAACTGTGCCTGAACTGTTCTGCCTTAGGTGAGGTTTGTCTGTGACTTACTTACACAGAATGGTGGGAGCAGCTTTTAAAGGCAATAGTTTCATTTGTTCTGGCAATTCATTTTAGATAGCCTTCAGATTTGTACAAAACAACATGACTAAGGATATTTGAAACAATCACTGTGATGAAATATTAGGTGGTGGGAGTGCAGCCTGCTGCCCTGTGGATTAATTGTGCCAAACAGGTAACAAATCCCAACCGGTTCAAATATCTTGCAATCTTAAATATCTTGCCAAGAATCAAGAATGGGGAAGATGTGTAACCACGTAGCCCTAAAATACTGTATTCCTACTGTTAGTAACAGGCACTGAGTTTGCAAGGCCCCAGGACTGGGGCTCGTCAGGCTTGCTCTATTTAAGCTTCTCTTGGCCTCCCCTCAACTTTGGTTTATGTGGTTTAGCTGTAACAGCAGATTTTCTAATTGACCAAGGGTCTGCGAGTAATTTTTATTTTTTTTTACGTTTGTTTACCTTTGTTTACCATGGCTTTGCAACTCTGACGTAATGACACAGCATAGGCAAATGCAGACCTGGTGTGACTGAGAAGTGGCGACACAGGGCGCAGGGTACCTGAGCGTGGGATGATAAGAGGTGGGACAAAAGCTCGGCACTGGTGACCCCACGGCTATAAACAACTCGCCAATAGTCAGGTACAGAAATGCAGACCTGGAGCTGGACAAAACTGCATTCAGGGGTAACAAAAAGAACTAAAAAATAGTATCTAACAAGCATAAAAGCCACCATGTGTAGTAAGTTTGGTTGTAATGTGGAGCTGCAGACCCACCAAGAAAAAGCCAGATGTAAAAGCGTGTTAGCAAACACATAAAACGACCCTATGCAGATCCAAGGGGGAGGAAGAAGAAGCCATCAACATGAACATCGTATTCCCTGTAGTGACCAACTCCAGATGCTGACAGCTCATCCCAAACCACCACCACCCAAATGAAACCCCAGCAGAGCAGGGGACAGGTGAGGATAAGACAAGGAAAAGGAGTGAAAACTAGGAAGTGTGTATAAGTTTTAACTGTAGTAATATTAATATTGGGGGTTTTTTCTGCATAGACTTTTTTTTTCTTTTTCTGCAATAGTTATATCTGCTCTAGTAATAATTCTTGGATTAGACCACTAAGATTCAGTTATACTAATTATAAATTCTTGATGTTATATGTATATATGAGGTCTGTTTCCTCTTTGCCCATAAACAAGATTTTGAGTGTAACAATAGACAGAGATATACACCAAAAAAAAAAAAAATTCTAAATGCTTTCTCGGATAAACTTTCAAAGGGTCACCAAAAAAGAACATACCATACATATACATTTCTGGATTCAACAGTTCTGACAAATTATTGCACCTAACTATGGAAACAGCAAAATCACAGGAGACCATGTAAAATTGAAAATAGGTGCAGTTTCAGATTTTGTGGGCATATTAAGAAAGGCACTTCAAAATTTGTCCCTTGACATCTAAAATAAACACAGACCCCCCAAAAAAACTGTACAATGTTAGTCTCCTTTTTTGTTGTTCATCCAGAAAACTCTTTGGTTTTTCTTTGTCAGAAAATGTAACATTTTGGCTGATGAATGTGAACAGGTTGGCATGTTATTCACAAAAGATTGAATAAATGCAGGGATTTTCCAGGGGTGAGGCAGGGAGTGCGTACAGATTAGTAATATTTTCCTCGATCAGTGGGCAAGCATCACTGTGCAACTGGATCAAAGCAAGGATGACTCTTAACCATGCAATCTACTGAGTTTATTTGATATATTTAAGAAAAAATCAGAATGATCATTCGTGTTTGTATGATCCTCTCAGCAGTTAAGGTGAGGTTCACACCAGGCCATATGTTCTGCGATGAGCTTATGCTATTAGCAGCTTTCATCTGCTTGCCTCCAGTTTGTTTTACTGTACGCACAGATGAATATTGCCTCAGGACAAAAATCTGCAGAAAATCCTCCACTTGCAGATTTGTAGAATAAACTACTTGGATCTTAGCACAAGTATTTTCTCTCGGTGCACACGCGTAATTTTCTCGTGAATGGGATTTATGTGCGCACATCAAAAGAAGAAAATCCCTAAGGGCTCAGTTTAAACCAACAATAGCAAAGATATTCAGGAATCTCCCACCAGAGCATGCCCTGTTTTGCCTACTTTATATCACGCAGACTTTGAATGAGATCTGCGGCAGCCAGGCAAAACGGAACATGCATTGGCTTTATGGTTCTTCATTTTTAAAGGCTTAAAATTAAGCCCTTAAGAACTTATTGTCTTCCTAAAGAGAGCTCATCACCCATGGGAGACAGCGTTGGTGACAGCTGGGTATGTGCAAGGTGAGGGGAACGTTCACCCCATGTGCTTGTGTGGCTGCAGCGTGGGTATACTCACAACGAAACCTTTTGCCAGTTTTTTCCTAGATATGGAGGGAAAACGCTGTGAAACACCAAAAAAAAAAAGGTGCCGTGGAGATGGCATTAGGTCCGTGAGGAGACCCGGGCTGGGGTGAGGGTGCCTGGCTTTTTTTTTTTTTCCAGACCATTTCAGTGCTACTTCTAGAGAAGCAGAGGCCCAATCTATGGGTCTGAACCAATGGCTGAGCGGTGTGGGTCCCTACCGTGGGGTTTGCTTCTTGGGATGCTGCTGCTGGAGCTGGGGGGGGGTGCGGGTGGCTGTGGGGGAACCGTGCCCACTGTTTTTCTAATTATTATTACATTAATATTATATAATATTATTACCATATTAATATTATATTAATAGATGATAATATTTTTTTGCAATAAATTATAATCCATAATATTAAATAAATAAACAATCCCTACCTTCTCCCCCACAAGCCTTTAAAGGGGAATAATAGCCAGAAACTCATGAGCATAACTAAAGCCACGGGGGAGGGATGCGCCGGCGCCGCGCCCCGCCCCGGCCCCG